GACGCCCAGGTCCCTCTCTGCAGAGCTCCTCTCCAGCAGCTCATCCCCCAGCCTGTACTGGTGCATGCAATTATTCCTCCCTAGGTGCAAGACCCTACACTTGCTTTTGTTGAACCTCATCTGGTTTCTTACTGCCCAGCTCTCAAGCCTGTCCAGGTCTCGCTGAATGGCAGCTCAGCCTTCAGGCGTGTCAGCTAATCCTCCCAACTTTGTATCATCAGCAGACTTGCTAATAACTTGCATAAACTTCTCTCCAGTTTATGTGGAATTTCTCAAGACCTTCATTTTTCTTATCTATGAAGTTAAAAAAAAAAAAACAAACAGGTGTAATTTTCCCATGCCCCAAAAAATAGTAGACCAGAGTAAGTCAGTATATTTTGGCAAGTTTTGTACGAAGCCACTTTGCTAGCAAGAGTATTTGTTAGTAGCCTTGTCTACCTCAAATCTGCAGTTTGCAGAGAAGCCTTATACTAGTGGTTCTGAAGTTGGGATGGTTTTACTGGGTGTTTGGCAAACGTATAAGGAGTACCAAGAGTAGCAAGATATGGTAATGCCGAGAGTTCTGTAAATAAAATATGTTTGTTTGAATGCTATGAAGCTGCTTACTTTGTTTGTATATGTGAGCCTCTGCCAATATAGCTGTGCCAGTGTAGCCTTTTTAAGAACCCTGAAGTATGTGAATATTTATTTGTTTTATTTGAGAACGTTGTTTTGCTCAGAAATACTGAAATGCTTTTTTGACATGTGTTCAAGAATGTGTCTTTCTGTGGATACAGAACTAATAAAGCCTGCTTTCCTTCGGTTTCAAGCGTGTCCTCCCCACCCTCTCTCCCCCCAAGTCCCAGCAGACTCCCTCATTCTTGCTCTATTTCTGCACCCAACCTCATATTTCCCACTTCAGTTTCCTGAGTGTGTCCTATGTTCTGCCAATGCAGGTTGCTTACCTGCTGTGTGTGCTGCATGGCTGGCTGGGAAACATGCTGAATTGCAGTGAGTGTGCATGAAGTGCATTAGTGTAGGTTTATTTGAGGTAATTCAGTTTTGTTTGTATATTCCAGAAACTCGGAAGAGTGCCTGTGGGGTAGTATACACAGTGAAGAAGCTTCACAAAATTGAGGAGGAAGAAACTGTGCCAGCCTGCAAAAAGGCAAAGACTCAAGCTTGATCCAGTTGTCAACAGGAGCCTCCGCGCAGTCTTTACTCAGTGGCTGAGTCTTCCTCCACCTTCCAACTGGCTTGGTTCCTCACTTACTGATTTTTTTTTTTTTTTTTTTTTTTTTAGCCTAAAGAATAATTATTTTTCTGGTTTAAGTGAGGAGTTCTGTGGGAATCCTATTGCTGGGCTTCTGGACAAGGGCAGGAGGGAATCACTCCACCTTGTCCTGGGTCTTCTGGAATCAGTGAACTTGCACAATAGAAAGTATCCCTAAGACAGAAACATTGTGTCAACTGCACTCTTTTTTTTTTTCCTTTTTTTTTTTAATTAAAAATGGTTTCAAGAAGGCATGCCTGTAAAGTCTCACTCTTATAGTAACTAAAGTTTTAAAACATGTCTCTGTACTAAACCTTAGAACCAGGAGTCAGTAAAGTTTACCTTAAATGGCCTGAGAGAATAATCGTGCAGTAAAAACTTTATCTGCTCTCTCTTCTGTTTTGTGATCAATAACTATAACAATCCTAGCATCTGTTGCTTGCTAGGAGAAATCTTGAGTTTGTATCAGAGGAACAGTGACTAAATCAACCTGTTAGACACACAGCGCAAAGGTTCTCTCTGCCTTTGGAATCAAACCATCCCAACTTAAAGCCAAACAGTAACATGAGACATTTGCCACGGACAGGAAGAGCCCAAGGTTATCCTGAATGTGTGCTCAGCATGGTGTGCAGTTGCAGCATAACAGCTGTCTCACCTAGGCCTGAGCAGTCTCCATGTCACACAACTTTTACTGTTATGTCTTTTTTTTATGTCCAGGTTGTTTTGCTGCCTCCTGACTTTCCAATTAACTTCCCGTTAGTGCTTCAGTAAATCTAATCCAAAAAAGCAGTCACAACAGAATTCTAATCAGTGAGGCATTTTCAGACATCTTCCAAATGTTGACTGAAGTTTCTCTTTTGACCAATATAAAAATTATGTAAGATACTGTACTTGAGATGCTTTTGTGGCACCTTTACTCTGAATATTCCAATATTCCAATTCTGTATTGCCCCATGAAAGATGCTGAAGCCTTGGAGCGTGTCCAGAGGAGGGCAACAAAGCTGTGAAAGATCTGGAAAACAGGTAATACGGGCTGAGGGAACTGGGATTGTTCAGTCTGGAGAAGAGGAGGCTCCGGAAGACCTTATTGTTCCCCTACATGTCCCTGAAAGGAGGTTATAATGAGGTGATGGTCAACCTCTTCCAGGTAACAGTGGTAGAACAAGAGGTAATGGCCTCAGTTTGCAGCAGGAGAGGTTCAGATTGGATATTAGGAAAAATTTCTTCTCAGATGCAGTGGTGATGCACTGGCACAGGCTGCCCAGGAGGTGATGGATTCACTGTCCATGGACATGTTCAAGTAAGTCATGGATGTGGTGTGGTTAGTGGGCTTGGTGTTGAGGGATGATTGGACCAGATCTTAGTGATCTTTTCCAACCTTAATGATTCTGCAATTCTCTATTCTTACCTGACAACAAGCTGAGAAGCACAAGTTGTGATGTGGAAAGTACCGCAGAAACCTTGCGGTGGGTTTTCTCTGAGCTCTTAGGAGCTAACAAAGCTCTCAGTAGAGTCACAGTTTTATAAAACGCTGGTGTAAGTCACAACAGCTTTTGCATCATTCAAAAAGCAATAAAATTAGTTTTCCTTTGATTTTATTTTACTGGTCGACATCATGATGTGAGTGCTTTATTGCAGTATTGAGATATAATACTGATGTCGATATTATATATAGTGGCTTCTTATTTATGGACTTGCCTCTAAAGTAAGGTTCTAACCAAATAAAGAAGCACTGGAAATGTGCCTGTAAAGTGTAACTTTTATAAGTCATATACCTTGGCCAGAGACTCATCAACCCTGAGCATGAGGAGAGTTGTTTTGTAACTAGCATGCAGAAAGAAGCTTTTGAATGCAAGATATCCTCCTTGTCACTTGTTTGATCTCATCCAGAAAATGTAACATCTGCATCTTTGCTCTTTAAGAAGGTACAGTGCTTCAGGAACTGTGTGGAAAGTTTCTATTTCTCCCAGCTTCCAGGAGCACTGAACTGCTGCTCAGTTATTAAGATAGTCAAGATGAGTTAGCCAGCACTGATGTAATTCCTGTTTCCTGGAAGATACACTCCCAATGTCCAGATGATTGTGCAGAAACAAGTACAGAAATAGTAGCTTGCAGAGGCGGATAGCAAGCAGAGACATGACATGGTTCTTATGAAAAAAAAAAAAAAAAGTGTTCTCAGGTGACACAAATTACGGTGCTTGTGTGAAAAGTCTCATCTGTCTAAATCTGTTGCTTCAGTGCAGGGTAGCTGGTTGCAGATTGAATAGGCATTTGTTCTGCCTGCTCCTTGTGGGGTTTCTGTAAATTCATTTCCAAGATTGGCATTCGAGTAACAAATACTCATCACTGTCCATTGTTTCATTGCCCAGGACTTTGTTTTGGCCACAGTGTAAAGTCTGCTCATTAGAAGCCAGCTTTACTGACTGGTGAATCTTCATGGGAGCTTGTGGCATATTTCTCTGGGAGGCTGCTCCATGGGATGTTCAGATTTTAACTGAACATGGCATGTGATGTCCTAGTGAAATTTCACATCAGTGGTTCTGCTGACAAGCCTATTAACATTGATCTACCTCTACTAAAGCAAGGGGAAAGATACCTTTCTTTCCTAGCAGGATTGCACATCTTCCTTGACTGGGACAATTGAAGCTGTCTTGTGTGCTCCACACAGTAAGTACTGATTGCTGAGAAAAGGGGATTTTAAATCAAACTCAGTGATAAAAGTGTAACTTTGTATCTTACTAGCCACTTAAGTACTGGCTTTCTGTTTCTGTATGTGTGTTTCTGCATAATGGAAGAAAATAAGAGACAGTATTTGTCTAACAGTGGCAGGAAGGTAGCTCAAGAGCTGGCTGCTTTAGGCAGCTGAGACTTTTTTTTTAGTATCTATAAATTTTGGAGGCTAAGGTCTGAACTGAGGAAGAGAACTGTCTGGTGCATGCTTACTGTACCATAATACACTCTAGCAAGTACAAAGAACCACGCTGTTTATTTAGTCTGAGATAAGTCAGTACAAAATGTACAGAAAAAGCAGTACAAATTTACAAATATACATCATCTGTTTTTTACATTCTTCGATCATCGGACTTTGTAGTAGTCCAGCTTTAAGAAATCCACATTTCCAATACCGTCTCCTCTCACCTTCACCACGTTGCATCTGAATCCTGCAGTCCATATGGCTACATGATGGAGCTCTGTCCGTGAGCTCTTTATCAGCCACAATCACTATAGCACGTTTAAACCCCATTACTTAGCTATTCCTTTAAATCCACTTGGGGTCTCAGCAGACCTTCTTCCATTACTCCTTTTCTCTTCCACATATCACCACTCATGTAACACAGTTTTCTGAAAGTGAGAATTTTGCAGAGGCATGGCAGCAATTGCAAATATTAGCTACTGAGAACTGTGGGAAGGCTTGATGGAAGTTGCTAAGGTTGGTAATAGTGCCATCAAGATAAAATGGCTCATGTTGCTGATAAAGATTGCATTGCAATTTAAAACTATAAAAAAATTAATACTGAGAACCATTAAAAATTACCCTTGAAATAAATAGGAATAAATAAAGCTATTTTAAAGCCAGTGGAAACTTAATTCTCAATCTGCCTGAATTGTCATTTTCAGTGAAGGCATTTCAAATAATTTAGTACAATAAATATCTTAAATAAATATAGTATGTTCAGGGCTATTTTCCTCCAGGATCATGCGAAGCATTTAAAAGCAGCAAAAAGAGAGCAGTCTGGCTTTTGTCTCTTCAAAACTTATTTAGTTGGGTGCTCTTATAGGAGTTGTTCTTCAGATTGTTGAACAGCTCTTTGGTGCCATTCTGCCACTGAAGAACGAGGTCCATAGGGGTTTTTCCATCCTGATTAAGATGAAAAGAGAAAGCAAGATCTAATTTCAGCTGGTGAATTTATTCCTTTATTCTTCCCTAAATATTTGCGTAGTGCATCTGATGTGAGACTTCTTCTACGTGCACAGGATCAGGTACTCTCATTCCTGAGTTATTTTGCCCTCCTATCCCCTGTCTGTTCAGCCTCCTGATGAAATTTCCATGTATGTGAGTGGGCCTATGCCGTGTTAGCAAACAGTGTGACTAGCAGAGCATGCCACTGTTTCTTTGGGTCCAATCTAAACTGATTTGAGAATTTGGATAAGAGTGTGTGCGTGCTTAATTAAATTATGGACAACATCTAAATTAAACAGGAGCAACTTTACTGCGCAAAGCCTGAGTGAGTACATGCTGAGTGCATGGGTCTTAATATAATATGTAAGTAAAATAGGGTGTGGTGGTCGTTTAAGTTGCAGCTGATAGATTGTGCTTTTAGTGTAGGTACTGCTTTTTTCATCTGTTCCCTGACCTCCTCCAAGTTGCCCTTTCCCTGTGTGAGCTGTTCTTTAGTTAACTGTACAGTGATTTAATTAAGTCTGTTCACAATAGTCTCTTCTAGCCTTAAAACCCACGAAGCTGCTCCGAAGGAAAACTTCTGAATTACTTACGCCATTCTTAATGGTAAGATCTGCCCCGTAGAGGATCAAAAGCCGGACCATTTTGTAGCGGTTCAGCCTGACAGCGTCATGCATTGGTGTGTCACCTTCCTACGGGGTGAGACATGGGTCAGCCTGCGCCACAGGCCGCACCGTGTCACCAGGGGTTTTCACGGGGAAGTGGAACCATGAAGACAGGCAGCAGCCCAGTTCCGAGGGTAAGGATCTGGTGGAACTTACTCTGTCTCTGGCGTTGAGGTCTGCTTCACAAGCAATGAGGTGCTCGGCACAGTCGTACTGCCCTGTTCTCACAGCTACGTGCAGTGGGGTGCTGCGTAGCTGAGTGGGGAGAAACAGGAGATTTAGACTGGATATAAGAAAAAAGATTTTTACAGTAAGCATGGTAAGGCATTGGCACAAGTTGCCCAGAGAAGTAGATGTCCCATCCCTGGAAGCATCTAAGGTCGAACGGGACTGGGCTCTGAGCAGCATGATGGAGCTGTAGGTGTCTCTGTTCATTGCAGGGAGTTGGACTAGATGGCTTTTAGGGATCCTTTCCAACTCAAATAATTCTATGAAGGCCGTCAGTGACACTGAGCATAGTAAAATAGTACCACAACAGCCACCAAACATTATCTTCTTGGGGGGCTTGCAGTCTCTAAAAAGTGGCTGAGCCCCAGAGGAACATACCTTGTCTCTTGCATTTCTGTTTATTCCTTTGTCCAGTAAGAATTTCACAATATCCAGGCTTCCTCCCCGGCATGCCCAGTGCAAGGCAGTAGATTCAAGCTATGGCAGAAAAAAACACAAGTAATTTAATTCAGCATAATGCACGAAAAGAAGAAATTTAGCTAATTTGATCAAACTTCTAAATGAATTCAAAATCATTTGTCATGCAATTTAACTTAAAGCAGTTTTCCATGGTTGTTGAGCCATTTCAATTAACAGCTTCTGTCATCTAGCCCTCCACCTCTCCAACACCAATTCTCTGCTTGGAGGGCTGCCCCTTCCCTACAGGTCTTGCTCTGCTCGCTATTCCTCTGATTTCTTACAGCACTGTGGGCATGGCTGGTTGAGTGAGGGGAACAAGGCTAGTTGATGCCATCTATTTAGCAAACAAACTAAGAGCTGGAAGTGGAGGAGTGAAAAAACAGCTGCAGAACCCACACGGTTAGTGTTCAGCAGAGAAGATGTCTCTCAGGAGCACAAAGATTTCCTGGTGGAAAATGTATACTTTGCACTGGGCCCTGTGGGGCCCTGCTACCTCCAGTAGCTGCTCACAGCCCGATGTGGTAGCCTGACCTCAGATGTCCTACCCTTCTTAGGGCTTTATGGTTTGTGGCAGCCTGTTGGTGAACATGGTCCTCCCATTCCTGCATTTTACTTCAAAACGTTTTGGCCCAGAAAGACAGACATCCCCTCCTGAAACCTCAGTAGTGTTATTCTGAGGATAAACTTGAAAGACAGTGTAAAGTCTGTCGCTTTTCTTGTGTTTGTTTTACCAGTTACAAAACATTGAGCAAATTTTAAAGTACGTGTTAATGAACATACCATATCTTTCAGTTCAAGCAGGGCTCCAGCTTCCACCAACTTCTTGACCACCTCTAGATGTCCTTCAGAGCATGCCCTGTGCAATGCAGTACGCTTGTACTGTCAATTAAAACAGTGCTAAGTCAGATATCAAATATGGCACAAAGAGGTCTCTTTAAATCTTTTATCTTTGCGTCTCTGGGATGATGGCAAATCCATGCGTTATGCTGATTCATTTTCAAGAGCTAATGCTTTCGAGACCTGAAATCTGCTAAATTTTAATAGCATTCTAATAGCAGCGATCTGCCTACCCAGCATTTAAAAAGGTGTGAGGAATATCTGCAGTGTGGCATTAAAATGATGCCTCTTGATTCCTGCATTCAACACACAATGCTGTATTTTGCAAATGCAGCTTATGCATTATGGAGTACAAGGGCCAGCAGCATCACTTTTTTGTGTGTGTATTTCTGCAGACAAATTTCTTATCTGTTCATCTGTAGCATTAGAAGAGCATCCGTTACAGAAAATCAGGGTCTCCTGGTCACCAATATCTCTCTTTGAAATGTAAGGATTCTTTTGAAGTAACGTTACTTAGGAGGATCCCAGCAGCCCTTTATCAATGGAATACATAATACATTAAAATTCCAGGGTTTATTTACCCCAACCCACTTCCAGTGCTTTTCTTCTCAAAACTGTGCATAATATAAAACCTACTGGTGAAAGTTAATTTTGTTCTGTAATAAACTTTCTTGTGCAGCAGGCTGCAGAGTAAGAAAAAGAGCATACCTCATCACAGACATTGGGATCTCCTTTGTCTGACAAATATTTTTCAATGACTGGCAACTTATTCTCCAGTGCAGCTCTGAAGAACATGGCTATGTCCACTGGCCCTGTCTAATGGAGAAAAATATACAGGAGGTGAATACAAGTGGCACAAAAGCTCATTGGTTCTTTCCCAAAGGAGCTCACAGCAGAACTTACAATAACTTCTGGTTCGGGTTCCTTTAAAAGGGGAGCTTTCACTTTCCTGCATTTCTTCTTCTTCTTCAGCTGAATAATTTTTTCAAGGTCCTCCAAGCTTTCGAGTTTTGATTTCTCCTGTAGTTTTTTCATCTTCAACTGAAACAAATGAGGAGAGGCAGCAGTTTGAGCTGGGACTGAACACACCTTCCCTCTAGAGTGGCAGGACAGTGGGTATTACCATTCAGTTGAATCCAGTTCAGACAGAGTTGACTTTGAAATAAGTTTTTGTTTTGATTTGATTTGTACTGGGGCTATGGCTAATGGACCATTAGATTAAGTTGCAAAGTGTAAAAGGTACAGAATTTCTTACACAGTTTTTTCATGCATCATTGTACTTTTTCCTAAACGCTTTCTTCAGCCATATGTTGTGGGATATCATGAGATTTTCTGGCCTGTGCAAGGCCAGGAGTCAAAGCAGCCCTGCAGTCCCTTTTGGTCCAACAATTTAAGACATCTGCAGCTTATGAGGACTGGGAGGCCCCTGTAGGTTTAACTGACTTCCACAAATCATTTTGCCTTCAACCACTTTCATGTGGTAGCCACTGATTTATCTTAATCCTTTTTGATATAAAAAAAACACGTGTACCCTTAAATGAAGTATGTGATTTATAGCAATTTTAGCATTTCAATCAGTAAGTGCTGCATTTTGATAAACTAGAAAGAATGTCGCCGGTGTCTTTGAAGGGACAATTCGATAAGTATTTAAGTCTTGTTCAAGCCTCCTTTGTTAAAGCATCCCTGCATGAAGTGAGTACAGGGCACTGCTAGCATCAATGACAAGTGTGTTGTCTTTGCTGAAGTATAAGATTTCAGGTATGACACAGTGTCCTTGGCTTTGGAAGAGTGATTCAAAGTAAAGCACTATCTCATGACAAATTCTATCTTTTAAATGTATTTAAATAGTATGTTTGTAAATAAATTGGTGAGGTCCTGACACATGGCATGTTTTTTTTCCAAATGAATTCTCTCGTTCATGGGATCCGCTTCAGAGTTACTGCCTTCATCAGTCAGCTGCGGGATTCGGCACATCTCTGCGTTCGGTGGGCATTAGACCAACTTCCTTTGGCAGTGACTTCCTGGGGGCTTGTTCTGGCCTAGCATGCATGTATTTCTAACTTAGAAAGAGGCAGAACTTCATGGAGCTCTGAAGAAAGTGTGTAAAGATGATAAAAGCCCAAGTACAAAATCCAAGAGCCTACCTCTGCCTCATGCTTCTGCTTCCCGGGAGCCATATCTACTTGGGTTAGTAGGTGGTCAGAGGCTGTCTTTAGGTCATCTTGCTTCTCTAATTTTACAGCAGCTTCATATTCTCCAGTTTTGAAGTCCTCTGGGAGGAAGCTGCCGGTATCTTTATCATCAGTTTTCTTCCCAGTCACCTGTAAAGATAATATGTTATGAGCATCAATTTGATGACCGCAGCAAGCACCCCCTGGGATAATGGATCGGTGTGTGGCAGACTAACTGCAGGCCTCATTCAGCCTGATGTGTAGTATATGTGTGGGTAGCTGGGGCAGGCTTGCTTGCAGGCAGGTCTTGCACATTCCCAGAGCAACCCCCTGCTGGCATCCTCGGCGTTTGGGTCAGGTTCATGAGGCCACCTTGCTGTAACTCAGTGCTCAACTGGCACTGAGCTGCTGCTGTGCTGACAAAAGCTGTTGAGTTGTGAACAACATCCTTTTTCTTCAGAATTTTCTTGCATTTCCTCTCGCCATGTGTCAGACCTATCAGAAAGCTGTAAAAGGCTCTGCTGGAAGGAGCCAACCTGAGCAGGCACCAGCACCTCATGAGCAAGGGAAATGAGATGCCAGAGTGGGAGGACATGCTTTCCCCTTGGGACCTTACAGTCTGGCTGAAACAGTGCAGTTAAATCAGGATGCTGAGTAATTTCAAGGCTGATCTTATGCACTGCTGTCAGTACCGAAGTCCCCATTTATAGCACTTGGCAAATGAATGTGAGGTAGCTGCTGTGCTGAAGCTGCGTGATGCTGTGCTGCAGCACAGCTCTTCATAGCTTTTGGAAATATTTTGGATGCTTTGTTAAGTATGCTCAAAGGGATAACTTGTTAAACTTAGAGGATGATGAACTTTATGTGGGTTAATCACAGAATCACACAGAATCACAGAATTGTAGGGGTTGGAAGGGACCTCCAGAGATCATCGAGTCCAACCCCAACTTTGATGAACTTAGGATGAACTCTGAAGTGGTTCAGTAAATGTATGCTTTCTTGACTAGATTTCTGTTCAATCACCCTTGTAAAGTTGTGTTTGTTATAAATTTTAATACTAGAGAAATTGTTAAGGCCTTGCCAAGAGTTTGGATGGTACTGGCTAGTCAGTGTATGTGAGTTTCATCTTAACTGTGCCATCTGGAGAAAAAAGTATTCCTGTGTAATGCTCCAGTGCTTTACTGGATTGCTCCTCTTTCCCCAGTCTGTTGGTCATTGTTAGTCTGAACTCTGCAGTGGAAAGTTCTATTGCTTGAGATCTGGTTTAGATAGGGGCTTTCAAAACTTGTACCATGAACAGCAGTGAAAATAGGAATTGTTAGTAATGCCTGTTGTTGGCTTAAAAGTGGAAAGAGAATAATTTGGTTTCCCTGCATTGCTGTCTTTTCCCTAGTCTCGTACCGGATTAGGATTTTGAAGTTAGTAGCTTTACAAATATATGTATGTCAGTCAAGATCAAGGGAAAATACACAGCTAAATTTTGGTCATTCTGTACTTCCTGGTGAGTTATGTTTTGATGCAAAATTCAAATGACTGTGTAGTTATACCAGTGGCAAGCCCCCTTCCCTAGCAGAAGTTAGTGGAACTATAGTAGGATAATGAATTATAACAGATGCAGGTTTTGAGCACTGCTCTGTCACCTCAGTGATCCACCAAGGCTGGTACAATGACAGTCTAGAAAGGAAAGTAATTACGAGTAAATGAAAGAAGCTTGTACCTACCAGCTCTTCTACTTTCATCATCATCATGTTTGCCAGTGTTTGAAGGCTGTACTCCCCTGTGGATGAATCTCCCAATGCTCAGGCTGGCTCTGCTGGGACCACCACACTAGCTTTGCTTATATATCGTTGGGAAAGCTATGCTTGAATGAGATAATCTTCCAACCTTGGAATCCGAGTACGCCTGAAGACTTGCCAGCTGGGAGGTAGGCTCGCGCTCATTCCAGACATGTTAACTAGCCAGATCTAGTGTCGAGACCGGGTGAGGGGCGTCAGGAGGGTGAGGGTGGCCGAGTCCCTCAGTCTGACCACACCGCGTATGTGCATCGGAATGAAATGTGAGCTCATCGTGCCTTTGGCCATGACCGCATGGCTCAGCAATGCGAGTCATCCTGTGTTCCCAGTGCCCACTGGGACAGCTGTCTGTTGATGTAGCGCTATAGCTTCATCTTTTTTTTTTTTTTTTTTCTAACTGACATTCAGATGACTGCAGGGTGCTGGGAAGGGTAAGTGGCTTATGTACAGTACTTGGAGTCATACCTTCCTGATAAGAGGATTGTGACCCCTTAACTCTTGGAAAGCCATTCTTTTCATTGCTGTTTATTCTGGGATGATAAACAGTTTTAGGGGAAAGGACTTTTCTCATCATGATGACTGTCTTCTATATTTGATCGGAGGAATTTTCTGAAAGGATTACTAAACCAAAATGATGTCTCTGGTGCTTTTTAGCCTATGACGTGAGAAGTTACAGTCAGTGTAACATGTTGCAACAGCAAACTTCGCATTTTTCTGGGACACTGACAGTGATCGTAAGCAAAATAATGAATTATATCATGTGCCAAAAAAGTAAAACTAATGCTGTTTTCTCAGAGCATATTTTTCATTTGAATGCAAGAGAACAGGTGCACTGTTCAGTTGTTCAGGACTTGTTCAGTTTTGGTGGTTGAGTTACAGAAATAAATGGTTGTTGGGTGTGTTTGGGGTACAAGGAGTTATGGAGTACTTTGGAAAAAATAAAGAGGTTTTCTTGTGTCATAAATCAGAACAGCCTGGAAGGAGGAGAATGAACGCCAGCAGAAAGCAATCTTACAACAGGTTCAAGCACTAATTTCAGCATTAAGAGTGTAGATAAATGCCAAGGAAATCCGTTCTGCAGTGCTAAGAGACTCTATCCGGTGGGGCACAAGCAGGACAAGTCACCTGGCTGAAACAAGTCAGTCTCAGGTACTTCCTGTGCAACATGTACATAGAGCTCCACTGCATACAGATCTAGCTATCTTGGGTGTTGTTTATCTCATTAGCATCATTAGCATGCTATGTTCATGATACTGACCTTTCAAGGTGTCTCTCCTCTGAACTATTTACCGGTAATGTGAGTACATCCAAACTTGCCTTCTAGTGCCCATCATACCTATGCCCTCCCTTTCCCTGAAATGAAGCTGGACATCAGGTGGTTCCCTTACTACTCAGAATATATATGACATTAGAGGATGAGCTCCAGAACTAAAATAGAGTATGTGGCAGCTCAAGAGACTTTTGGAACATTTTTTTCCAAACCGAAGTGGAGCCAGGATATCATTCCCAGAGAGTGGTATGTCCTGAATCACTGCAGGGCCCTTTCTTGCAGCAGCATTGTGCTCCTGCTCTGTGTCTCTGTGATCAGAGGCAGCTCTGCTTAGCTTTTTTTTGTCCGTAATGTGCAGCAACAGATTATCTTGCTCTGTATTATTCAGTGAATCTTCTATGGGAGATTGTTTTGAAATCTGCAACCCTAGTAGGATGGCTGAAAAGATCACTTCTTGTTTATTGGTAACAGATCACAGCAGAGAACTGACAGCCTGGTATATAAAACTAGACCAGCAAAACTTATCCAAGACAGTGTAAGCGAGTAGATCTTTCTCTGCAAAAGGCCAGTGAATCCAGAGCCCACATGAGCTTAACATCTCAGTGTTCCAAAGGGAAACACTGACCCACTTCTCACATCAAGCTGCCAAAAAAAAAATCCAGCCACATGTAACAATTAAAGCATCCAGTCTCTGCTGACTACAGAGACCCAGAAATAAAAGTGAGTCTTCGTTGATAATCCCGAGTTGCTGTATAAAAACACAAAACAAAAAAACAAAAACAAAAAAGCCCCACACATAAAACTGCTGTAACAAAGGGTTACAATCTAAACTGACCAAACGCAATGCTCATAAGCTGAATGTCATGTGAACCAAGATAATTATTCTGAGATAGCTGATATGAACCTGTGCGTTTTTACTAAGACTCTAGCCCTGTTGCTTATTGCTATTGCTTAATGTTAGAAGGTGAAGTAGCATAATGAGCTTGCAGCCTTGTGCTGGGCTGTAACCACGTAATCCCCTTTCAACAAGTGATTTCTTGCATCTCTGTTAAGGTAGTAATAGCAGATGGTCAGTGGGAGATGTGTAACAGGAATCTGGAAAACACTTGCTGGTCTGCTAACAGATCTGCAATGAGCTGCAAGGTGAAGGCAATTTATATTGCCACAAGAACTTTGCAGAAGAAAACACAAAAAGGCAGCAGGCCCATTCCCAGATATCAAAGGAGGAGTTGTCAGAGCAGTGTAAAGAATGCTTGTAAGTAATTTTTAAAGTTGTTAATAGTAGAGGGAAAGCTTTATGTGTGATACAAACAATATTACACTTCCTGTCAAGTGTATCACCATTGTGTTTTCAGTGTTGTCACTATCCCAGCCAACAGGCACCTCCCAGCCCTCTGCCCTTGGCTCTGCCCTTGCACCCAAGGTGTTGCCTTGTGCGGTGCCTGGCTGTCTCTGGCATCTCCTGCAGCCAGATAGGCAAGGCAGGCAGGCAGCAGGGGCTGGAACGTGCTTGTGCACTGCAGAGGGCATGAATCCAGCAACCCATGTTCTGTGAGTGTGCAGCCATGGGTATTGCATACCCGAAGATACTCCTAAGGAACGGTAACCCACAGCTTTCTCCTTCAGTGTGCAATGGCTTTTTTCTTTCTCTGAGTGCACATTCATACGTTACGCATATTCATACACAGTGGAGCACTAACTCATAATATATTGCAGTAACTGTTTTTCTTTCTCTATTTTGACTGTTTGTTTTCCATAAAAGGCAGGAATTTATTTATCTAGCAAATAAACTCTTTGATAATTTATCATCGCCATGCAGTTTGGGTATATTGCTCAATCCCCTCACTTTTTCAGCACTCTGGTACATATGTATGTTTGATTCATTTCAATGATCAAGAAATTATTATATCACCTGTTTAAACCAATTTTGAGACTTCTCATAAATGTATCTTTCTTTGGGTAAAATGTTGAAGAGAAACAAACTATCTCCTTAGGAAAACAAACAAGATTTCACCAAGGTACGCAAAGTTTGTTTTAACTACAAAATTAGAGTATAAGAAATTAATAAATTAACAGTGGGATGTGATTATAATTCAGTTTGTTCATATTAGCTGTTAACAAAGCAAAGAAGTTACAGTCTGGGAGGTTGCTGATCTGGGCTTCATAGCGCTCTGGTGAAACCCAAACCAGCAGTGAGTGATTGCATCATTTACTGTAGTGCTTAAAAAAACCCTGCTCAGATGACATTAGGGCTGGGATTTCCACACAATCTGAAAAAATTAGTGATTTATATTTAAAAGCAAGGGATTGGAATGTATCTGAGACCTTGAGCTCTATCACAATTGCACTTGTGCAGTACATGTGAATCTAGCTAGTTCACCAGAATGGTTCTCAGTTAAGCAGCAAAGTGCAGCTTAAGGCACCAGAACAGTTATCTGTCAGAAGGGTTATCTGCTGGCTGCACACTCGGCCTTCAGTCAGCAATGTTGGTCAAGTTCTGTGTATCCAGAACCTGTGCCAATATTATATTCACGTAACATCTTACTATGTTTTTATGTGCTCAGCTGTGGCAACAGGGTTTGTTTGTGCCAGTATGGAGTTGTAAAAAAGGTTTATGCCATTCATAAATACTGCAGAACAACTTCAATCAGTCAGAAAAGGAAAGCTAGAGGGATGCAGAACAAGTTTTCAGCTATACAACGTGAGAGTGCTTTGAAATCCTGGTCATGTTGATAATCCAGCAGGTATCCAGGCTGGCAACTGCTCTGCAGTGAAGCACATTTAGTGCTTTTGACTAGCAATGGAGAATTCAGCTTCACTCCAAAGTGACATTTTCTGCCTTTCCCTCAGTGTTTTATTTTGAATTTTACACTATCTTAAATTAAAGCCTCCCATACTGAATCTTGCTCTATGTTTGCCTGAGACCTTGTAAGTACTGCTGTCCCAAGTATGATACCTTTTTTCCTTTGTAAGAGTAAGGGGATGCTCTAGTTTTGGGTGATGCTAACATCTCTCTGAAGTGCTTCAGGAAGATGTGCCAGAGCTCTTTTGAATGCTCTCCAGAGTTTCTACTGTTTTATGTTTGGGCACGATATTCTACTAGCATCTATTTCTCCTTGAATACTTTCAAGTATTGCATCCAAGCACTGCACTTCCCTGTAGCACTGCATTACCGTATGCATTGAAACAATTATCTAACAGAATTCCCAAATGTCTCTCCAGGCAGAATAAACTAGGCTATAGTCATAACATGCTATAGCTGGAAGGACCTTGGGGTATAATCTCTTTCCACACCTCTGCTCCAAACAGGGCCGGAACATAATACAGGTAAGGTCAGCTCCTGAAAGCCTCCAAGGACAGAGATTTCATAACTTCTCTTGTCATCCTGCTCCAATTCCTGAGTATCCCGATAGCAAGTTCTTTTCTTACATACAGTTGAAACATCCCTCATTTCAACTTATGACCATGGTCTCCCTCTCACCTCCTGTAGATGTCTGTAACAAACCTGGCTCTGCCTTCTTCACAAATTCTTCTTATGGTGCTACAATATATCCTTGGACTTTCTCTTCTTCAGGCTGAGCAAGCCCAGCTCCTACAGCCATTTCTTCCACTGCCAGTCCTCCAGCTCCCAACCATCTTGGGACTGATCTTACACCATTGTTTGGACACGTGATGAAAATACTAA